TTCAGTCAAGAAGGAGAGCAAGGAGAGTTAGGTGATCTCTTGGACAAATCACCATTAAGGCRCCAAGATAGGTTSATCAAGAGCAGGGAGGAACAAGGGAAAACAGGAGGTTTTCCCCGTGGACCGACCCGTAACGAGATCCTATTCCCGGGCCCATAACAAATAAATACAAGTGGGTCGGCTAGGAGAGAGGTGATTTAGACTCTCTTCTAGTCTGGCCGAACTCTCTTTCTCTTCTTCTTCTTTCTCTTTTCTTTCTTCTTCTCTGCTTCGACCTAGAATCTACTAGGGTTTACTTACATGGTATCAGAGCTGTAAGGTCGTATCCTCCTTTCTTTCTTGCCGCTGTTCTCTTTCTGGGTTCGCCGCCAACTTTCACAGTCATCTTCATTTTTCAACTGACTTGAGTGGAGGTTCGATAAGGGGCTGAAAAGGAGCTGTCGTTTCGTGGGCCTGGAGGTGAGAATGCCTCCGGTCGTTGTTGTGGTGGTCGTTGAAGTGGTATACTAAACCCTCTATTCAGTGTACGAAGAGGGCTGAAGGTGGACAGGTATGAACACTGCTGTTGTTTGTCCAAGTAAGGGACTGTGAATGTTTTTTTTTTTTTTTGCTTCAAAAGTTGGTTGTTGTGGAGCTCGGTGTGACTGATATACATATCAGTAGTGTTCCTCTGCATTTTTCCTCATATGTGTGCCGAAAGAAGAGTTGTCGACTGCTGAAGTTCACGACAGCAGTGGTGTGGTGGTGGTTGTGTTGTGGTAATTGGTATCTATGATTCTAAATATTTAAAAGTGAACTCCTAGACCTTGTGTGTAATCAGTTATGTAGTATGAAGAACAAGTGTCCAATGTAATTATTGAGTGATTTCAGCCTTAGTGTGTTGATGGTGAATGGTTCTGCAGTGTGCAGCCCAGGTGTTTGATGTGATGACTGAGTGATTCCAGCCTTGGTGTGTAGTGTGTAATGTGCATTTGAAGAAGTTGGAGTTGGTGGTGTTATAAGTGAGATAAGTCTTGTGAAAGAGTGTGAGGTTGTGTTGTATATTTGAAGGTGAAATAATTAAGATGGCTTCATTTGAAAATGGGAATGACAACAAAACAGGTGTCATGCTTTCTCCAGACTATCTAAGTGTTCAAATGACATCYATCAAGTTGAATGGTGAGAATTATGTACCATGGGAAAAATCTGTGGATGTGTTCTTGAAGGCCAAAAGGAAGGTAAAACATGTGAGAGAGGAGAAACCTCCCTCTGATTCCCCTGGGTTCAGTGAYTGAGAACAAGAAAATGCACAGATAATGACATGGCTCTGGAACAGCATGGAACCAAAGATTAGTTGAACTTCATGTTCCTAGATACAACTAAGGAAATCTGGGATCATGCTAAGAAACTGTACTTTGGACAAGACAATACAACTAGGGTGTATCAGTTGTACCAAGAGTACTTCAATTTGAAGCAAGARAGTCAAAGCTTAGAAGAGTACTATGCAAGTTTGAGGAACATCCGTAATGAGATCAATGTGTATCACCCTCTAACATCAGATGTTCAAATCCAACAACAACAACATGAGCAGCTTAATGTGACAAGGTTTCTTGTGGGTTTGAAGGCTGAGTATGAGCCTGTCAAGCACAAATATTGGGGGGGGGGGTCTGCTCTCCCCTCACTTGAAGAAGTTTTTGCCCGTCTTAAGAGGACTCAGAAAGGGTATAAGTGTTATAATCCTAAATCCCATAAATCGTTTGTGTGCTCTGATGTCACCTTCTTTGAATCAGTTCCGTTTTTCTCAGATGCTGGGGTCTCTTCCTCTCCCTCAGTGGTTCCTCTTCCTGTACCTGTTGTGGACACCCTTCCCGTAGCTCTTATTTCTACTGCAGATGCACATCCTATGCTTGTTATTACTGAGAGGCCACCAATCACTCAAGTGTATACCCGCAGAAGTGCATCGGACCCTCCTCCACTTCAGCCCCTATTGACAGATCCTGCTACTGCTCCTTCTCCCTCAGATCTTGATCTTCCTATTGCTCTGCGGAAAGGTAAACGTACTTGTACTTCTCACCCCATTTCACACTATGTTTCTATTGCTCACCTTTCTGCTGCTCATTGCAATTTTATATCATTACTCTCATCTGTTCCCATCCCCAAGACTGTCCAGGAAGCTCTTACCTCCCTAGGGTGGCGGCAAGCCATGGAAGAACTCTTTGCTCTACAACATAATCACACGTGGGAACTCACCGCTCTTCCTCCCGGTAAGCACACTGTTGGGTGTAAATGGGTCTACACAGTGAAGTATCTTCCTGATGGCAGTGTGGAGCGATTGAAGGCGAGGTTAGTGGCCAAGGGTTATTCTCAGTTGTATGGTGTGGACTATATGGAGACATTTTCTCCTGTGGCTAAGATTGGTTCAGTTTGGGTGTTGATTTCATTAGCTGCTATGTATGATTGGCCTCTTGTACAACTTGACATAAAAAATGCCTTCCTACATGGTGATCTCGTTGAGGAAGTGTATATGGAGCAACTACTAGGGTTTGTTGCTCAGGGGGAGGCTGGTAAGGTGTGTAGGCTCAAAAAGGCAATTTATGGA